TCAGCAAAGTGTCGGATGAGGGCGAACATTTATCTCTATGCCAACGGCCTTGGGCTGGACCCACAGGACCAACATCAACTTCCTGTTCGCTTTGAGCCACTCCTCCATTAGCCATAAAAGGCAAAATTCAATTGATCTGTGATGTAATTAACATACAAGAAATATTCACGTCGCCATCAACTTCCCTTCAGCTTGAAACTTCCACAACTCTGTACCATCGCGTCTCCGCAGTGCCAGATTTAGGCCTACATCTTAGTTGTGCATCCATACCTGCACCCGCACGTGTGCGAGCTCAATCACGTGAAGTCGTTTCGCAGCGCTCACGGTGTGAGCTGTCACTTTGTGATGCGCTCTAAGCACAGCAAAACGGAGAACGAGGGGCCGATGCGACACTGTGCTGCCAGACTCCTCGATTCGGTGCAAAAGGATTAAAAAAAGCCAGACTCCGAATCAATCGGAGACCTGCCAGGAAATATTGATTCTCGCATGACACTACCTGGCCGTTCAATGCGTGTTCACTCTCACTCACTCAAAAACGAACGGAGGCAAAAGTTTCTCGATGGTGTATCAGTGGCCAGACTCCGAATCGAACGAAGACCTCGCGAACAAACATCCCCCCCAATCTCGCACGTGCTACCGTTGCGCCATCTGGCCGGGTACAAAGTGAGAAGGAAGACTGAAGGACGGGGGAACAAATAGGGCCAGAAAACAGAGACAGAGTGGGTTGCGGCACGGGAAACGGAGAACACAGGTGGTTCCTGGGAAACGGGGCGACTAAAACAGGAAACGGAGATGACACGAGGCTGCTCTGAGTCAATTTCTAACCCCTTCAGAATCAGGAGCGCGTGGGCAATCACAGCGGCGAGTCAGAACTGAAAAGGAGGAACAGTCCGTTTCCAGTTAAAGGAATAAGTACACACGCGAGTATCGGACGGAAAAAGTCAGCTGTATGAAACGGAATGATCATCTTATTACCTCCCACTGCATATACCTAAAGCTACTCCCCCTGAAGTACACCAGGGTAGGGAACTAAATTAAATACACTCCGCTACAGGTCGTGCCGCCCAATAGTAGGACAAACCAAGGTCACCTAAAAGGCCAGGGCTTGTCAAGAAACCCCGTCCGTCTCACCTCCATTTCGATAAATTGATACAGAGGAAATATAGTCAATCCGGATTTGAAAGCGCGCGGTAGTAGATTACGCGGCACACCACCAAACGGCCAGTCACCTAACTTGGCTTCATGCAACTGTTCCTTTTCGGAGTTCGAACGCATATCCTTGCGAGGAACCCACCACATTGTATACGGAAGGCCTATCCTACACGATCATACCATTTCACCCATTCAATTCGCACACTTCACCCCCGAGTCTTCGAAACGGAAGTGACTCTGTTTCAAGGCGTTCACCAACAGAGAAACCAGGCTACAAAGGGAATCGCTATAGCCATCTGTATAGTGTTACACTGTACTGAGGAGACCTGCCGTCTGATACGTTCGAGATGGGTGGATAAAGCATAACAGATAACCCGAGTACTCCGGAACGGAACAGCATTCACATTGCGGAGCGAACCCTTCGAGCAAGTGTAGAAAACTATCCATCCGTGGTACCTTCAGAGGGCCAGCCCCCAACGAAGAACCAAATCTTTGAGGAACCTGGCAAAGTGTTCAATCCAAAACGGAGAGGACTGTACACACACACACCACAAATTATATATTGCTCATTAGCGTACCTTTAAAACTACGCAGCTCCGCGACAGAGCAATTTCTTCCTAGAGAACGAATTAAATTCTGTAAACACTACTTGACTATACCCACCCCGGGTCAGGCAGTTCGCAGAACCGCAGTCCGCATCACAACGGCATTGATGCCGTGTCTTACGCCAAAATCATCACCATCCCCAACGACGCACTTCTCACCCTCTTCCACACTTGCATAGACAACAATGATGCGCCGCAACAGTGGTTGGTAACCCTGCTCATAGGGATCCTGAAGCAAGGAAGGGAGGTTGACAATCCAGAGAGCTACCGGCTTGTCGGGCTGGAGTGCTGCTTGCTGAAATTACTTACCCTTCTTCTGGATGGCCGATTGCGCGAATTGGTGGCTGTGAACAACATCATCCCCGACTCGCAGAATGGTTTTCAGCCCAACCACCGGATGGACAACAACTCATTCATCCTCCTGTGCGCAATTCACCGCGCCCGCGTGGAGGGCAAAACCTTGTACATGCTCTTCGGGGACATGATGAATGCTTTCCCGTACACAGACATCACGAGACTATGGACAGACATGTATGCAGCGGGAGTCTCGGGCCCCTTGTTCAACCTGATGCAAATGCTGTACGCTCACATGACATATGCCATCAAATTCGGGGATGAACACTCAATGCCTTTCCGCTTGCTCATCGGGTTGTTCACCGGGGATTCAGTGTCGCCGACACTGTGGAACATTTACTTCGCAGACTTCCGGTTGCCGCCGCACAAGGACGACATTATTTTGAATGGTCGTCCAGTCTCCCAGGCCAAACAGGCAGACGATAATCTCATCATGTCGACGTCCTTCCCCGCGTTCCAGTCCAAAGTCACCCAGTTCTACGTGTAGGGCACGAACAAGCGCACCTTCGTCAGTGTAAAGAAATCCAAGTGGATGATTTTTGGGCCGCTCCCCAGTGTCATCCCGGTTCTGCGCATCGGCGACCTCGTTGTTGAGCTTGTCTGGGAGTTCAATTATGTTGGCATCTGGTTCACCTCAATTCATTCCAACATCTTCGCACGTCATTACGCCATCAAAGCGTCCAAGGCGAGGGGTACTAGTAATGCGGTGTTCACGCTCAAGCACAGGATTGGAACGCTCCCCGTTAAGGAGGGGCTCCAGCTGTACATGGCACGCGTCAACTGCTACTTGATATCTGGGTGTGAGCTCTCTCTGGATACGGATAACTCACTTATGAAGGAACACCTCGACGTGCAACATTCCTTCTTACGCCGTCTCCTCGGGCTCAATTCACACACCATGCTCGCTGTTCTATTCACGGAGACTGGGCAAATGCCGATCCGCATACACTGGCTTGTAATTGCACTCAGTTGACTCAAGTACCTTGTTGGACTGCAGGAGGAGCCTTCGCGTCGTGTCGCGCTCGACTGCTTCCTTGATTCCATCAACCTCTTGCGCGAAGGGAAGTCTGGTTGGGCCTCTAATATTGTCATCATGCTCAGCCAACTCCCTGAGCCTATTGAGGCTGGACCGGACGACCTTCTCTCGATGGACTTTGTACAAGCTACCGAGAAGAAGATTGCTAACATTGTGGATGCAGATCTACAACGCGATATTGACCGATTGGTCAAAACACATCTCCTCCGGAACAGGCTTGAATTGGGCGAGGACCACGCCTTGGTCCTTGCGCCCCGTCGACTGCGGCACTATCTCACTGCCGTGGCAGTACCTGCGCACCACAAAGCCCTAACTGGACTTCTACTCGGGGACCACCTGCTGAGCGTGGAACATTTGCAGTATTCGACTCGATACCATGACACCGTTCCTCGCAATTTCAGGCTGTGTAGGTTGTGCCGAGGGGGCATCAAAGACGAAGTACACGCGTTTTTCGACTGTGCAGCAAATGAGCGGCTGTTGCAGTTGAGGACTCACTTTCTTAGGGGTCTCTCGGTCTGTGATCCTAAGCTGCTCGCGCACTATGGGCAGATCACCAATTATGATTTCCTGCTGAAACTCGTGGGCACGAGGAAGGGGACCAGGTTGTGCGCGAAATATGTCTACGATGTTTTATCTCTGTTCCACGAGTTCCCTCGTTACTTCCCAGTAGTTTTCAGGCATCCGTAATTTTTTGTCCCGTCTTCTTCAGTTCTGTTGTGCGGTGTGTAGGTACTATGGGTGCCTACGCTTCCTCAGCAATGGGCCGTTGAAGATTGTAGCATACATATTAGGTGCCATGTGTATGTCGGTACAATACCTGCTTGTTCCTTATAGGGACCGTGGCAGTAGTACATCCTCCTCCTCCTCCTTACCACAAGTTTGTGTCCGTGTCATGTGTTGTCGGAGACGTCCGAAGACCCGTCCGGCCCGTGTTGCCGTTTCACATATTTCATTTTCCCGTTTCCATCACCGGCTCGCAGTATATATATTCCCTGTCTAGAGTATCTGTCGCTAGCTACCCTTACCAAATATCCCCCCATTTGCTGCTCCCTTTCTCGTCTTCTGAAAGGTTATGGGCCTCCGCAGCGTTTAAATCTCTCGTACACCTTGCCGCCCATCCGACAATTACCCCATTCGGCTCCGCCATCTTTCCCCGCTGTTCCTTGGCGTCATTGTCGACATACCTGGCCTTGACCTACTGGCCTTTACTACCCTACCCTGACCTGACCTACTACCTGATCTACTACCTGACCTACTTGACCTACCTGACCGACCTGACTTGACCGACAATGACTACCACTGCGACCGACGCCCCTATCTACTCCGATGATCGTAAGATCTTGCTTACCGACGCCGCCGGCTCTTACGATCCGTGGGAGTTTCGCATGCGAGCGAGCGCGCGGGCAAAGAAGCTACTCAGCACCATCGAGGGGCAGGATGATGAACCGACGACTGGGCATTCGAGTAAGACCTGGAAGGCGTGGAGAGCCCGGCAGGATGCCGCGGCGGATCTGATTATCAAGGGTCTGGACGACAGCCAGATTACATATGTGCGTGGATTGGAGAATGACCCCGAGGCGATGTGGGAGAAGCTGCGGTCGATGCATGAACCGGTTGGCCTTGGCGGCGCGACGGGATTGTGGATCGAGTTTTTCTCGATGACGTATGATGGGGTTTTGCCGATGAAGACTTTCCTCGGGCGCATTACCGGCATTGGCGAACGACTGGAGCGAAATTACCAGACAAAGCCATCCGACGAGCAAACCATCGCGAAGATGCTCTCGGCACTACCTGCCGAGTACTCCGGTATTTATCGCACGCTCAATGGCTTGGCGGCGGCCGACTTGACTTTGGACGCCGTCCAGCGGAATATTTTGATGGAGGATATTACTGTTCGCGCGGAGAAGGCGAAGAAGGGTGAGGTGGTATTCAATGGGAGTACGGCCTTGAAGGCTAACTCTGACGTGACGTGCGAGAACTGCAACGTTACCGGGCATACGAAGGCCCGATGCTGGCACGAGGGTGGAGACATGGAGGGTCAATATCCGGATTGGTGGTTGGGAAAGCGCACTGGAACTTCGAGCGCTCTCGTTCCTGCTACCCACATGGCCCGCGTCCTCTGATCAATTCCGTGCGGACTATTTCTCTTATTGGACTTTATATCTGACTTTTTCCTCCCTATCCCTCCCCATTCCTACGTTCTCAACTCCTTCCGCGTCTTCGTTCGCATGGGAGTGTTGTCGGAGACGTCCGAAGACCCGTCCGGCCCGTGTTGCCGTTTCACATATTTCATTTTCCCGTTTCCATCACCGGCTCGCAGTATATATATTCCCTGTCTAGAGTATCTGTCGCTAGCTACCCTTACCAAATATCCCCCCATTTGCTGCTCCCTTTCTCGTCTTCTGAAATCATGTCTGTTGTGGCAGCAGTCCACAGCTTTTGCGAAGCTATCTGGAGGGTGCCCCGCTCGTCCTGACCCCAGATGAGCTCTCCGCCGTTGTATTCCT